GCGAGGGGGGGGGGGTGGGGGGGGGGGGGGGGGGTGGTAGTTACTGTAGGCGCGGGATATGGGGGGGGGGTGGGGGGGTACTTAGCGCGCGCGCACGTGCGTCTAGGGGGGGGGGGGTACTTGCGCATGCGGAAAACATCCAAACCGTGCAAACCATGCCAAACCATGACAAACCATGCCAAACCATGCAAACCATGCCAAACCATACCAAACCATGCAAACCATCATTCCATCATTCCATGCAAACCATGCAAACCATGCCAAACCATGCCAAACCATCATTCCATCATTCCATCATTCCATCATTCCATACAAACCATGAAACCATGCCAAACCATGTCCAACCATGCCAAACCATGCAAACCATCATTCCATCTTTCCATCATTCCATTCAAACCATGTTAAACCATGCCAAAACCATCATTCCATCTTTCCATCATTCCATTCAAACCATGTCAAACCATGTCAAACCATGCCAAACCATCATTCCATCATTCCATCATTCCATCATTCCATCATTCCATCATTCCATTCAAACCATGTTAAACCATGCCAAACCATATCATTCCATCATTCCATCAATCCATCATTCCATTCAAACCATGTCAAACCATGCCAAACCATGCCAAACCATGCAAACCATCATTCCATCATTCCATCATTCCATCATTCCATTCAAACCATGTTAAACCATGCCAAACCATACCAAACCATGCAAACCATCATTCCATCGTTCCATCATTCCATGCAAACCGTTCAAACCATGCCAAACCATGCCAAACCATACCAAACCATACAAACCATTCAAACCATGCAAACCATGCCAAACCATGCAAACCAATTCAAACCATGCTAAACCATGCCAAACCATGCCAAACCATGCCAAACCATGCCGCACCATACCAAGTCATATACCAACCACGAATCCATCACCAAAACCATACCCATAACCATAACCCGAGAAACCGTGGCACCAACCTGGGCCGCAGCCATAGGCCTGCAGCGCCCAAGAGCCCGATGCTTGCTTGCAGTGTCGCGTGTATTGGTCCGCCTTCTTGCCGCGATGTCGTTCTGTTCGGGGTTCCCGCCGCGGCGGTCACGACGCGCACCTGCCGCCAGCGGCGGGGAGACGGGGGGGGGGGCGCCTCGACTCATGATATCTTCATCCCCCCCATCCTCCTCAACATCCTCATCCTCATTCTCCTCATCATCCTCATTCTCCTCATCATCTTCATTATCATCATCATTCTCATCCTCACCATCACCATCACCATCACCATCACCATCACCATCATCATCATCGTCATCATCATCACCATCATCATCATCATCATCATCATCATCATTATCATCATCATTTTCATCACCATCATCATCATCATCATCATCATCATCATCATCATCATCATATCATATCCTTCTAAGCATCCTCGCCATCCTCCTCATCCTCCTCACCATCCTATCTTCCTATCCTCCCCATCCTCCTCCTATCCTCCTCATCCTCTTCCTCATCATTCCTGTCCTCTCCTCCCCTGGCTCATCTTAGCCACCACGCCTGAAGCCCGCATGCTTTAACGCTGACTCACGTGACCACGCCCTTTTCCCCGTGCATCCCTATTCGCCTGCTGCACGGTATACCGCACGGTCTGCGGTCGTCAAGTGCGGGAGGGCCCCAGCGCTCGAGAACCTGAAAAGCCTGCGTGTTCACGCGCAGGCGCAGGCGCGGAGGAGATATGGAGGAGGAGGAGGAGGAGGAGGAGGAGGAGGAGGAGGAGGAGGAGGAGGAGGATCGAGGAGTAGGATCCAGGAGCAGGAGCAGGATCGAGGAGCAGGGGGAGTAGGATCGAGGAGGAGCAGGGCCGAGGAGTAGGAAGATCGAGCATGAGAGGGATCGATGAGGACCCCCTTGAGGAGCCCCATAGGCCTTAAGTTGGATCTTCGTGGATCCCATTCTCATCATCGTTCCGATCTGCCTCATCCTCCTCCCATCCACCTCCTATCCCGTCCTCATCCTCGATCCTATCTCAGATCTGCTATTCTATCATATCACCGTGTTCATCGAGTTCTAGCTTTAGTGGTGCGTGCTCGTTCGAGTCACGCGCATATCGATCCGAGGCCCCTCCTTTTCATCCTCATCCTCGGCCTGACCTCAACGTCATCCTCTCCTGAAGCCCTCCCCGACCAACTCTCTGCGGCCCATCCCCTTGCCACGCACGCTATATCTCTCCCCTCGAGGTTGCCGCCGTCCAGGTGCATGCGGTCGCGCGGGCAGCTCACCTCCCCTCTCCCCTTGCAGCGCTGGGCGGGGTCAAGTCGAGATCCTCCTCGGTCATCCTTCATCCTCCTCGAGTTTCCTCATTCGCTCCGCATCATATTCGTTGCCATCATCCTCCACCTCCTCCTCCTCCTCCTCCTCCTCCTCCTCCTCGAGGGCCCTCCTCCTCATTTACTTAAGCGCATCGCGATAGCTCTTCCTGCTCCTCCTCCTCCTCCTCCTCATCCTCATCCTGCTCGTCCTCCTCCTCCTCATCGATCGTCTCCTGCTCCTGCTCCGAATCCGTCTCCTCCCCTCATCCTCCCGTCAACTGCTTCCACACCCTCCCCAGGGCCGCGCCTCGAGTACTCGGCGCAAACGCCGATGCTCAAGACGAAGGCGATGCCGAACATCATCGCGTCGCCTCCCAGTCTCGCTTCTTGCAACCTCCTCGTGGAGCTTCATCCTACCTTTCCTCCTCAGATCCCCTTCATCCTTCTCCTAGCTCCGCCTCATACTCCTCTTCCGTCTCGTCACCTCCGTCCACTGTCCGACAACGAGGATCCTTCGAAGTGCTGCTGACGGCACACTGATGCTCATCTCAGTTTTACCTCTTTGTCCTCATCAGTCTCATCGGCCTCGCGGCATGCCCCCTCCCGTTCCCACCAAAGCATATCACAATGTACGTGTACATGTAGATGTACGTGTTCAGGACTTCTGGGCACCTCCCATAGCGCGCGATCCCCCTCCAGCTACTCCCTCTCCTCCTCTCCCTCCTCCCTCCTCAGAGCACTCAAGCACTGACTGCTAGCGGTTCGATCGATCGATCGGACTGCCCTTTGGCACCTTTGGCAATCCCGATCTTCGCCAGAATCTTGTCCCTCGAAGCCTCGCCCTCGGAGCGCGACGTGGCCTTGTCAACCGACACCTGGTGCACAACGTGGTTCGCAGCCGTCGCGGTGCACGCCGACCTGTCACCCTCGCATTTCATGATGTCCATGCAGCGATCCCCCCACATGTTGTCGCGCACCTGCGTGATCTGGCTCCACTTGGGCTCGCCCGCCATGCGGATCGAGATGCCAATGTGGCCCGTCCTCTTCTTGCAGCCCACGTCGTACTTCTTGCCGTTCAGCGTGAAGGAGCCCTTTGCGTGGCCTGGCGCGTCCTTCATGGCATCCGTCTCCCCGCCAGCCGTCTCCCCGCCAGCCTCGCCAGCAGCTTCTCCGCCTGCAGCCTCGCCAGCCGCTTCCTCGGGAGTCTCGCCAGCCGCTTCATCGGGAGCCTCTCCAGCCGCTGCCTCGGGAGCATTGCCAGCCGCGTCCTCGGGAGCCTCTGCAGCAGGATCCTCGCTAGGAGCGGGCCCCGCACTCCCCTCATCAGGAGGCACCTCGGATGCAGGAGAGTCGACCGAGGACTCGGTCTTGGCTGCCTTCTTCGGTGTCTGCTTAGGCGCCGCTGGTGATCGTTTCTCCTTCTTCTTCTTCTTCTCGCCTGCCCCTGGGTCGAGCCACGACGGCGTCGACACCTCTGGACGCGGCGGCACCACTGGCACCACTGGAACTTCAGCCGCAGCTCGCTTCTGTTTTTTCTCCTTCTTCGTTTTCTTGTGCTTCGTATGGCGCCTGCTGCTCTTCTTCTTTGTGAGTGCCGCTGTGGGAGATTTCGCGCGACTTGCATTCCAAGTTTCGGCCGCTGCAGCTAAACACCTGGGTGGGCAACATGCCCCAACGCGTGTTCGGGCGCGGAAGATTCGTCCAGGAAAGATCAGCGCAAATGGCCTCCGTACTTGTTCAAAACTGAACTGCAAGCGGTCTCGTTGTCTCGGTTAAGAGCAGAATCGTTGGCAGCCCCCCAGCGCTAGGCGAGAAAGTGGCAGGGGCCCTCAAGGCCACAGGAATTATGCTCCAGACCTCGCAGCGAGTCAAAGATCTGGGGGTCGATGGGTCGTCGTCTCGTCGTTCGGTCGGTGCGATGAACAAAAGACTCTCAGCCGCTAGAGGCAGGAGCAACATGATAACCAAAGTGCCAACGGCCAATCCGCAGGCCGCCAAGTCAGGCGAGACAGGTTTCCTCCCACAGGCCACGCGGGGTTTTGAAGGGATGGGCTTGGCACCGACCGCCCTCCACAAGCTCCGAGCCCGGGTGTCTGGGCTGACGGTGATTAGAAGGGAAGGGGGTTGCGCCACAATTGCCATGCGCCTCGCACTTTCGTCCAAGCAGGACCCACTGGAGTTCGGCAGGCTGCAGATTGTTGTTTCATGCGTGGGTGGGCCTGCTGCCTGCAATCGTCATCGAAGCTCGTGCGCCGCTGAGTCTCGCCTGGAAGAGATTGTAGCGTGAACTATGTCAGGCCAATTCCAGATGGGGGAGAATCAAGGGCCCCGTGTGCATGTGGTAGGCGGAGCCGCGCAGTGGCATCTATCTCCTCGACCCTTTTCCTGAACTCCAAAAGCTCAAGCTCGACCCATCGAGCTCCCTTTCCTTATCACTTCGCGCCTCTAAGCGCAAGCGAGGGGGCGCTAGGGCCAAAAAGACAGCAGTGCACATGTGGACAGGCCCCGCAAAGCACCTCACTCACACTGCTTGCGCTCTCGAATATCAATGCTCAGGCTTGCTCAGGAACAGATCTGCACGGATATGGATCCCCCAAGCTGAGCATGCTATCTTCGCCTGACTCGTCACTCGAGAGGGCCTCATAGTCAGGAGACTCCAGATTCGCCGCCCCAGGAGCTGGCCCCCTCACGACCTCCTGTGGGACATTCTCGAATGGAAGGATCCCTGCTGCCTTCCGTTTACGTGCGCTCTGGTACTTGGCGTCGTAGACCAGTTTCCAGCGGTAGCCGCTGTCGAAGTGCATCCTGAGCTGTCCTGGCTGGTGTCCCTTGGTCAGTGAGTTTGCTAATTGAACATCGCCGTGGACCCGAGGCATCCAGATGTTGGCGGCCTGGGTTCCCTCCTTCAGCGCCATCGCATCCACGTCAGTCCGCTCCTCCTTGCCGCGGAAGGTGTAGACTGTAGTCTGGAGCCTGTCGCGCAGCCCCTTGGCGCCCACCGCAACGGCCCCATGGCAGCTTGGCAAGCGCATCCTCCGGGTTGCGCCAGTCGATGGAGATGCCGAACAGCTCGCCCTCCGCATCCACTGGCGATCGTGTCTCGCAGGCGACGGAACTGCGGCAACCTCGGTCGATCTTGCCGGACTTCCACGACACCAGGCCCACGTCATTCACGTCACCCTTCAGGATCTTCAGTGGGGCCACGCCTGCAATCAGGCCCTTGGTGGACCTACCGTCGGGCCGGTTCGACTCGGATGAGTCGGACCTCTCAATTGGCACCAGCACCTGTGCCTGTGAGTGGCTGTGGATCACCACCGGCAGGTCAGCGCATTGTCGCGCCCGGTCGACCAGCCTGTTCGTCTCGTTGATGGTCTGCACTTCTGCCGAGGGGATCGTGCTCAAGAGCAGGCTTGCGTCAGCAGGGTGCATTGGGCCAGATTGCTCGGAGCGCCAGCCGACGGCGCCCAAGATTGCTCTGAGCTGACCCTTCTCCGTGTCGGCGGTCTCCGCGTCCTTGTTCCTTTTGCGCTCGGTGGTCAAAGAGGCCTTCTCAATGGTCTTCGAATATTCACCCTGGTCCATGCGGAACCTCCTGTCGGGCTGCTGTTCGATCCCCACTCCGGTCTGCGTGAACTCATCGGTCTCCTACGTCTTCCACTTGAAACGCCCTTGAATCTGCTCTCGAGCCTTGGCCCATCGCGGATCGGATTCCTTGCCGCCCAATAGGCAATCATCCACGTGCGACCTGGCGACCGCCACGATGTCGAGGTCGCGCTGCGACCAACTCGTCGAGCACCTCTGGGCCAATGAATCCCTGCAACGCCTACTTGGTGAAGCTGTCGCCCTGGCCGCGCGCGTCGCCGTGCAGCACCCAGACGCACGGGCCCATCTTCATCTGGGTCCAGCCGAACTCTTCGAGCGCCTCGCTCGCCGTTGCGCACCGCTCAACGGCTGCCGCGACGAGCCCGCGCACGGCCTTCCGGAACCTCATGGCGACGCCCTCGGGCATTCCAAGCGCCGTGGCCAACTCCTTCACGGGCATCACGAACAGGTTGTGCTGAATCTCGCGGTTCTGGGTGAAAGCTCCCGTCACGTCAGCCATGTGCCCCTTGGAACCTAGCCGCGCCATCATCTGCAGCAACAGGTGCCTGGAAGTACGTGTCATCGTTGGAGCCGTGGTCGGGCGGCGCTCGTACTCGGGGCCCATGTGGCCCAAGACCACGATCCGCGCCTTCGCTTTCTTGTCGCCTGTGCTGACGTCGACCATCCACTCCAGGACCCACCGCATACGCATGACCTCCTCGGGTGGCGGCGCGACCCCGGGAGGCAGGGTCGAGGACGGAGGATATGATGTAGTTGTTCACCTCAGTGGCCTTTGCCCTGTTGAACCTGTCCACCTCGTCCTGGGTGGCCGTCCGCTCCGAGATTTCGCGCTTCCCCCCTTTCTCAACTGGCTTACCATGTGGGTGCTCAGGTTCCTGGTGGCCTGCCTCGAAGCCTTGCCTGCGATGGGGGGGCCCCATCGAGACCTCCAAGGATATGCCCTATCGTGCCCAGAAGCCTCGGGCATCAGGGGTCACCTTGGCCATGGGCGCAGCCTGTTCCCCCAGGTTCTTCTCAGCGACCGCTGTCCTTGACGCCCTGGCCCTGTCTGCAGTGCCTTCAGGGTGCTGCCCCTTCTTGTGGATCTGCTTCCGCGCGGGAGGGGCAGGCCGGCCCCCCGGGGTCATCTGGGGGCCCTTGTCTTCGGCTAGCTCAGCCGTGCGAGCCCTCTTCAGAAGTGGTGCTGGATCAGGATCTCCTTCCCGGGCTGCGAACTCCGCGTCGTGCTCCGCGGGGTCGTGCCCGGTGAGTTCCAAGTACCCATGTCGCATCGCCAGGTTGATGAAGGCGCTGCAAATCCAGGGGCGCCCTTGCCTCCCATGAGCCTGGCGCGCGCGATCTCCCGGGCAAAGGCGGCTCGGATCTGGCACAGGTCCACCTCGATGATCTGGCCTGCCCGCGCTAGCCAGACCACTGTCCCAGGGCGCCCCGGGCGCAGTGCCTCACTCTGCGCCAGATCGCCGCCCATAGGGCGTGCAGTCTCCGATGCCAGCGCCCTCGCGAGCCCCTTGAAGCGGCCCTTGGTCTCGCCCTTCTCCTCGCGGAAAAAGCGCGCCCACGTGCCTGGCGCCGCGGACTTTCGCGCCTGGTTCTGCGCGTTCTCGGCCCGGCTGATGCGCCGCGCGTAGTCCTGCCTCAGGTACTCCTGCTCCGCCGCGCACATCCTCGCGTAGTTCTCGCCGTACTCCTTGTCGACGCGCTGGGCCTCGACGCAGGGCATCTCGTCGAAGTCGCCCTCAAAGAAATGCCCGCCCAAGTCGGGCGCCCTTCCAAGGGCATGCTGAAGAGGGAAAAGGCCCCGGACATCTTCTCGAGCGCTCCTGGCTGCGACCGCCCCGGCCAAAGCCTCCTCGGTGGACATCTCGGGGTTCTCTGCGACAGGCCGGCTCATGGTCCCTATCGTGGCTTGGATCGCCTCCTCTGCGAGAGATGCGCCAGTGGGCTTGTCCTGGAATCGGTTCGCATACGACGGAGTCGGAGTCGAAGTAGTCAGCGGCCTGCATTAAGATCCACGAGCCCTCAGGGCCCATCTTCACTTTTTATGGCTAACCCAAATACGGCAGCCAGCGCCCCTCGTGGAAGTCCTCGAGGTCGGCCCAGACCGGGTTGCGGTGCCGGTCCTCATCCGCCATGTGGTAGAGCAGCTTGCTGACCCACATCCTGCAGTTCTCGTCGATAATGAGCGAGAACTTTGACTTGATCTTCTTGCGGGGGTGCTCCCACTCGAACTGGTCGGCCTGAATGTGCTTCCACTTCGAGGGGATGACCTCAAGGCTGACTGGCGGGTGCGCGGGGCGGCACTGCTTCGCCTGCGCGCGCGTCACAGTGAAAGCCCCGGGCCACCTGCAGCGCCAGTTGGCTCGCCCCCTTCGGCCTGAATGCGTTCAGCATAGCGGTCTTGGAGCTGTGGCCCGAGCCCCGGTGTGCAGAGGTCAGCCAGCGCATTACCTTCTGGTACTCCTTCGAACTAGGGACCGCACCTGTTGACGCCTCTCCTCTCCCAGCCGCTCGCGCCTGTCCAATCGGCACCTCGGGCTCAACCAGGCACCTCAAGCATTCGCGGTAGTCTGGGCCCTGACATCCAGCGTCTTGAGTTTCTCAAGACGCCTGTATGTGTTGTGAGTTTTGTCGCAAGGTGTGAGAATTCTCAAGACACTGCAAAAAACTCAAGACAACTTTAAAACACATGAAGAAGGATCGTCTTAGTTAAAAAAAACCAAGTTGATGAAAAATGATCGTCTTAGTTGAAAAAGGAACGTCTTAGTTAAAAACGAATCGTCTTAGTCCAAAAAGGATCGTCTTAGCGACAGAGGCGGTTACTTTTGAAATAAGGTTTTGGGGAGGGGGAAAGGCGGCTGAGGCGCTAGCCTTGGAATATGGCGGGGTCGGCGTCAGAGGCGCTAGCCTTGGAATAAAGGAGGAGGAGGAGGAGGAGGAGGAGGAGAAGGAGCGGGAGGAGGAGGAGCAGGAGGAAGGATGGCGGTCTTGTTGGGCTTGTTTTTGGGGGCCTTGGATCGGTCTTTTTGGGCCTGCTTTGGGGGGTCCTGGGAGTCCTTTGGCTTGCTTTCGTTTCGTTTGCTTTCGTTTCGTTTGACTCGTTCGAGATATTGTTGGCTCTGCTTTGGGATTTAGTTTTTGTTTGGTTGTTTTTCCCTTTTTGGCTGGGTTGAGCCTCGAGGGGCCTTGTGGGTCCAGTGGCTGGGCCTTGGGGGTCTTTTTTTGGGCTTGTTTTTTTGTCTTGTTTTACAACACGCAGAGTTCGCGAGGCCTCGGCCATGCATGAACGCGTAAAACGTCATTTCTCACGTTCAAACGAAGAACGTGGAAACGCGTTGTGCACAGAGCAGCGCTTGGTGCGCGCCCTGCACAGTGAAACAAATGGGTGAAACGGATGGGTGAAACGGATCCGTGAAACGGATGGGTGAAACATGCGTGGACAACGATTGGGAAAACAAACAGCATCGACGTCTGTCGGTCCGGATACCTTACTGAGAATGTCTGGACCGACCTTCATCCAATCCTTTCAATCCCTCCCCTTCAATCCCTTTTCAACCCTTGCGCCGAATCATTTCTCACGTTGAAAAGAAGAAGGTTCGGGCAAGGTTCGGGCGTGTCGCTTCTGGCGGCGAGGCGGCATCCTGAGATCTGGAGTCGGTCTGCAGGGGAACCGTGTAAAACGTCATGTATCACGTTGAAAGGAAGAACGCATGGATAGCGGCGGCGGTGACAGGTGCAAAAAACGTGCTCTCAGCACGCCGCGCAGGCGCGCGACCGAGCCGCGGGTCTCGAAAGTACCCGTGTTCATCCCATGTTTCCCTCTTTCATCCTATGTTTCCCCCTTCTCACTCCTCCTCTCCTCCGTCCGCCATCATTTCTGGCGTTCAAACGAAGAACATAAACAACCAGAAGCATGCGAAGGGCGGCGTGTCCCTGCAGTGCTGCAGCGAGGGCATCCCCTTCGTCCTCCTCCTCCTCCTCCTCCTCCTCCTCCTCCTCCTCCTCCTCCTCCCCTGTAAACGTCATTTCTCCCGTTAAAGAGAAGAACTGCGTGCGCGCCGCTCTCGGCGGCAACGGCCGCGCCGCTCTCGGCGCCGAGCGTTAACAAATTGGGCGGGCGCCATTTCTCACGCTGAAACAGTCACATCCTCATTTCTCCTCATTCCTTTTTCTCCTCATCCCCCTCCTTGGTCCCGGTTTTACTCCTCCCCCTCCTCCTGGGCGGGGGGGGGGGGCGCCCCATGCCTCTACCGCGCGCCCCCCTGTGGCGAAACAAAAAAAACAAGCTACACGCAGCGTGGGGCCCTCTGCGCGTTTGTCCCAACACCCCCACGCGTTGATTATGGTGGTAATGGTTTGATGGTGGATGGTCGAGGTGAAGGATGACTTGTTAAGGGGGATGGGGGAGGAGGGACACTCAACTGTTATCAGGGAGAACCTTCTGCAAAAACGTGGAATAGAATGTTGCACCTGCGTGCAACGATTTTGCAACAGAACTGCATGGCCTCACTAATGACAGCGTGCGCAACACTAAGGGCCTCATCTGGGCACCCCGACGTACCCGAGCGGCCCGCTGTGCTGCAGCGAGGGCATGCAGCACCAAGACCACCCCCCCTCCTCACCATCATCCTCTTGCCTTCTTCTCCCTCCCCAAACACATCATTTTCTCTCGTTGATCCTTCGAACATGCACAGCACTCGGCGGGGGACGCCGCGCCGCTCTCGAGCAGACCCCAACAGGACCCAACTCGCCAGTTCTCTACAGAACCAACTCCCCCAATCGACTGGGTCGATCATTTTCTCTCGTTGAAACTGCAAGCAAATCAAAAGCGTGGCGCCAAGTCGGCGTTGAAATAGTAGGGCTCACCCCTGCTGGGGGTGATCTTCGCCCTACGAGGATCCTCCTCCTCATCCTATCCTCCTCTTTCCACCAGAAACTCAATGCAACGATGCGTGTGTCATCGGCAAAACTGCCGTGCGAATCGCTAAGTCGGATCGAAGCCCCCGAGGATCTCCCAGAACCGACGATTCCTCCTCCTCATGGTTTTCCTCCGCCCAACCCTCCCCACCTCAGTCGGGCCCTCTTTGGGGGGCGCCCCATGCCTCTACCGCGCGCCCCCTGGTGAAACATACCCAAGCAAAAGCGCAGCATGGGGCCCTCTGCGCTAAACGGCGATGATCATTCACCTCATCAGAAGCGAGATCGATAATCATTTGTCCCGTCAGAAGCGGGATCGATAATCATTTGTCTGGTCAGAACGGCCCCTCCCTCTTTCTCATTCATCATCCTCATGTTCCTTCCTCACTCCTCCCACCAGAACTCAACACAAATCAAAGAGAACTTTCTCTAAAAAGCGAGTATAAAATGTGGGGCCAGCGTGAAGCGACTGCGCGACCCGACCCATCAAACGATTTTCTTGCTCGTCTGCGTAGGTCCAATAGAAACGTGGGTTTCCGTGGGTTTCCACGAATTGTGGGATGTGGAACGCCATGTGGTGTTTAAAAATTGCATGGCCTCCAGCAGCCTTCCAAAAATGGAGAAATCTTAACATGGCCTTCTGAAGGCGGTCGCCGCCACCATCGGACATCCGACGTGGCTCGCGCATCATCACGTCCTGGGCCTCATTGAGGGCCTGGGCGGCGATGCAAAGCGCGGGCCCCTGAGGGCCTAAAAAACGCAAGCTGCCCAAACACAGCTGGACGCCAAACGGTACCAAGTGGCGTGTTTCGGCGGCTTTCGCTTTTAACCGAGGATGCTGGTTATCATTCGCGGGGGCGAACATCTTATAGGTGATCCGATTGATACGGCATCTGTGCCCACGAGGCAACGGCGTTGCAATGTAGAAGGCCCGAAGCCGCCTGGGAATGGGGCTCCCCGCAGGCACTTATCGAGAAGCCGCCTTCCTGGCTAGAAGGCGTTCGCGTTGTTTTGTGGAACCTTCCAGCCCCAGCTTCCTCCTCTTCGTCCTCCTCCTCCTCCCCCTCCTCCTCCCCCTCCTCCTCCTCCTCCTCATCCTCCTCCACCCACGCGCCGCAATCCACCATCTTGCCAGGAAGTGGCCATCCGAACAATGCCCATGGGGAGCCCGATTCGGCCTCCTCAGGTGGAGCAAGTTGTCGTGCTTCCGCAAGGCCGCGTTCGGTCGCAGCGAGCGTGCGAAGTTATTCTTACACACAAGATGGAAGAGCAGTCCAAGCAAGCACTGTGAGCACCCGAGATCCAAGATGTGCATCACATCCAGGTGAACGTTGTTCACAGAAAAGCCAACAACCGAGAACAAATGGCATAGCAAGTTAAGACCAACCCCAGCTTGGTTGTCGAAGAAAGTCAACCGCAAGGGCGGAACGAGTTCACGCAATCGGTGAATATCTTTGACAGGGCCAGCCTCGATGAGACGCATCCCTGATTCGAGGTTCAGGCCGCGAACTTTCCGAAACGTGGCGAAACCGCCGTACACTTCGTCAAAGCGCATGGAGGCTAAAAGCATGTCAAACTTAGCCCTCGTGGGGACGTCTATCTCGATCGTGGATCGTTGCACCATGATCTGGTAAGCGCGTGCATCCCGTGGGGCCCACAAACATTGAGAGTAGGTCGCAGGATAATTGAATAGATCGTTTTTTTTGCCCTGAGCTCAGTGAGGGCCCCAACCCAACCAGATGCGAGGGGCTGACCAGCCCTAGCGATGCGGGCAGCATCCGTGAAAGGTTCACCGAGATGATTGGACAACGGATGGCGTCCCTCGCCGAGAACATTAAACGACCAAGCAATTACGCGAAGCAATGTTCCGAATGCGCAATATCCACGACAACCGCACTTGCAAACATCTGACTTCCTGACGGCTGCTATCAGATACCTGTCAGCCCACCGCGGGAGACAAACAATATACAAAGGTCC